CTCATAGGCCAGATAGGCAAAACAGACGAAGGATTATTATTCCCATTCTATAGACAGGTAATTTAGGCCCAGAGAGATTAAGTGATTTCACACAAAGTCTTGGTCACAGCCAGCGCATGAACCCAGGTCTCCTGAGCCGTAATCCACTGCCTTAAGCACAGCTTTCTTTTTGAAAGTACGGTGACAGTGAAAAGGGCTTTAACTGCCCATCTGTTTATAGGGCATTTGGTCTCATTATTGCTGTGTATTCTGAGGTGATGAAATGCCTTCGCCGCTCTGCATTAAGGTGAGGTTCTAGACATCCACGCAAACCTTTGGCTTGTAGAAATAAAACTGAAAAGTAAACAAGAAAAGCAGCAAAGCACAAGGCCGTCTTTCGTGGCCAAATACTTCAGAGCACAGCAGGCTCTGCCTTCCCTTTATGTGTTTTAGAGAAACCTGTCGTATTGGCTTGTGCACAGTTTACAAGGCTGCTCACTGAACCATTTTGAGCCAGGCCTGATACTGCCGTTCCTGAGCCTACCCAGCAAGGTGCGGCCTGCTCTCCGAGCAATGTCAGTGGGAGAGGAAGGAGCTCAGCACCTTGCAGAATCAGGGTCAGGGTGTTAGAAAGAAGACACAGTATGGGACCAGTCCTGCTCCCACTGATCAGTTCTGTGTCACTAGACCATTCCCCACTCACTCACATGGCAGAAAAGCTGCGGTTTGTAGTTTACCATTCCTTGCTGGCACAGTCATGGAAAATAGCACAGCCTAATGAAGTACTGAGGCATCCCACAATGTACTGCTCTGTCTCCCGGGACAACATTTCAGCTCTGGACCCTGAGCTAGATCACAATCCGAGAGATTGACTCTGATCCTGATTTGGGCTGTGGCAACTGGAAGCTGTTCTGGTGGTGCACAAACAAAAGCTTGGCTGAGATACGGAGGAGGATTTCTTCAGCCTGGGTGGTGTAAGTGCCTTCTACACAGTGTCCCTGAGTGGGAATGGCTCCTGGGGACTATGGGCAGCCCATTCAATTTGGAGCAGCCCTTACTCTAAAATGGGCCTTGGGGCGTGCCTGGTACTAAACCTCCCTGGATCAGGGTAGCAACAGTTGCTTACAATTCACCTTTGCCTCTCCCCAGTCACTCCCCTTTGTAGAAAGAATTTGTGTAGAAGTCATTGAGGTTTGTTTGCTTGTTTGTCTTTGTCTTCCAGTTATGCAATGTTTGCAACAATTGCCTTTCCCTTTTCGGTAATAAATATTGCATGCTCAAACATCAAAGCGATCAGATAGCCTGTAAACCTATGGATCTGTTTCTAAGAACGCTTCTCATGCTCAAAAAGTGTAGAGATTTCCTGCAAACACTTCTTCAGTGAAATCCTAAACGTGGTCAAATGACATTTGCAATGCTGGCTCATTTTGATTTTGTTTTTTCCCTTTCCACTTACCACACGTACTTCTTTTGAAATCACCTATTAAAAGTGAAAATGGGTCAAGAAAGAGGAAAGTTAGATGAAATCCCCAAAACAACTTTAGGGTGACAGTAGTGTGAAAAAAAAAAATCTACATAAGCTTTATGTGGGAAAGGTGCTTAGCTGACTGCTTGTCACCACACATATACCCGTATTTTCAGTACATGTTCTACTTTGTTGTGCAAATATTTTCACAACTGATATATTAAAAAAGTAAAGGGAAGCTGAATCCCAACACTTTGATAAGTGAGGCAGTAAACAACTTGCCATCTCTGCAACTAGATTACAGAGCTGCTGTAAATACTGCTGCTGAAATTTTCAGGCTCTATCTAGCCTCCGAAACTGCTAAGTATCTGAGAGTAAGCAGGTGCAGACCTCCTTCTGCCTTGGGAGTAGCTGTGAAAACCAGTTAATGAGTTCCAGGGCTGTCTATTGGTGTCTTGACTGAGGCTGTGGCTATGCCACAGCTGAATACCTAGGGCATTAGATATGGAAGATGGGTTCTCAGAAAGTCCCAATTCCCTCCCCTCACTAGATTCTCTCTGGGGACGTTTGGATCCAGATGCAGATGTTGAGGCTTGGGCCTATCTCTAGTCCAGGGGTGGCCAACCTGAGCCTCAGAAGGAGCCAGAATTTACCAATGTACATTGCCAAAAAGCCACAGTAATACGTCAGCAGCCCCCTATCAGCTCTCTCCTGCCCCCTCTCCCCCGCTCCCAGCGCCTCCCGCCCACAGGCAGCTCCGCTGATCAGCACCTCCCCCTCCATCCCTGCCTGCACTTCCTGATCAGCTGTTTCGTGGTGTGCAGGAGGCTGCAGGGTGGGGCAAGGGCACTGCAGGCTCAGGGGAGGGGGCGGAAAGGGGTGGAGTGGGGGCAGGGCCCATGGCAGAGCCAGGGGTTGAGTAGTGAGCACTCCCCGGCACATTGGAAAGTTGGTGCCTGTAGCTCCAGCCCCGAAATCGGTGCCTATACAAGGAGCCGCATATTAACTTCTGAAGAGCCGCATGTGGCTCCGGAGCCACACGTTGGCCACCCCTGCTCTAGTCCCAAACATTGTAAAGTTCTTTACTGACTGACTGCACCAGGAGCAGGCCAGTGATGAATCAGGCATCCAGTTACTGGCCCAAGGTCTAATATGTGGCCAAAGTAGAATGCTCCACCCCCCTATGCAAGGTGTATTGCTTATGCTCATGTGAAGAACTACCTGAGGGCCCAGAGGGTGATGAACCAGGTAGCATTGAACAGCTATACTTGGGATGAATTTAGCCCTGAATGCATCAATGGGCCACAGGCAGCAGCTGCTTGTGCTGAGTAATGCTGATGAAGGAATACGAGGCAATCCCATGTACTGCCATGTGGTGTCATTCAGCTTCAGGAAACAAAAATGCGATTTTTCCATAGGTGGATATTTGTCCATACATGGAAATGTCTTAAGTGTATGAGTGGGAGGGAGGTGGGGGAGTAAATTCTTAGCCTATTAGCAAACATGCGGGTAGACCATTTGACCAGATGATGTACTAGTGATGTCAAGCAGCAAACACACCTAGGAAAGCCATGTCAGCCCACAGTAGCTGAAGGAAATTGATTTTTTCATACGTTCTGGGCATGTGTCTCTGAGTTTGTTCTACCTTTTGTTTTACCCACTTCTCTACAGCAAAGAAATGTCTGCTTTGCTAATAGAGTCAGGAAGGATGTGTGGGAACTCGCTGCATGTGACAATGTTACATCAGCACTGCATTGAAGTTCACAGCTACAAGAAGGACAACCTTGTTTTTGAACAGCTGAAGGAAAAATGTTTCCAAATGTCAAATGCAGTTTCTGAAATATACTACTCTGAGCGCCACCAGCTTAATCTACCAAAGCTTTAGGAATAATGTATCATCTGCCTTGAAGTGGAAATAATTAGCACCTCTGACATTATGAGCATTCACATACCATGCAACTACACAAAAATAATCACCTGCAATGCCGAAGCCCAATGGCTTGAAATGACACATTTTCAGCCTGAACGCTCAAATGCTTGATTTCCATGGGTTTAAAGTGAGCTATAATACTCTTTTGGGGTTTGATCCTGCAAAGTGCTGAGTGCCAGCAATCTTCCAAAGCCTGGCATAGCTGTTAAGGGAGGAGGCACTCAGCTCTTCATAGGAATGCTCTTTAAAAGTGGCATTTGGTGAATTAAGTTTTCAACTTTAGTTTTGAAAGAAAGAAAAGCAGATGAAAAGCTGCACGCCTTTGCTGTAATGAGCTAGAGGCAGGTGCCACTAATGGAAAAAAATGTTCACAGACATTTTTGACAATTTGGTGTCCCTGATCTTGCACCCCCAGAATAATCCACAATGAATAAGGATGAAAAATCGGTTAGCCCCTTTTCCTACCATTCCTAGTTCCATTTCTAGTGCTCTCATCACAATAGTGTCTTGCTCCCAGCTAATATTTATTTATTAGAGATGGGCTGCAGTTGAAGCGGTTCACAGCACTTTCAGTAAGAGCTGTACAAAGCGAGACAGCAGCCCTGCTTCTCAGCTACTCCTTGCAGAAGGTGCATCTCTGGGTGGGCTCAGAGTAGCTTTCAGCCACTTTAGCACATCCTGACTTCTGGGCCGGGCCAGGGCTTTGAATGGCCTCCTGTGGGCTGCTGTATGGTCCCAGAGCGCTGGAGTGCGGATCACTCTGGTCAGACCCATTTCCTTCCAAATACACCTCCCCTGGGCATGTTCCTATGCCTAGGGCTGCATGGAGAGGGGGTGCAGAGCCATTCTGTTAGCACTCTACCACCCGGGGAACCACTCTATGCTGGGAGTATGCCACATGGGGTCACTTAATGGAGGCTGAGCTGGAGTAAAGGGGCCTGGAGAACTGAAGTTACTTGCCTGAGAGGCATTGGTGACTGATAGATTCGGAGTGGATTAAGAGTCAGGTGATATGCTTTGGTTCTTACAGTGACTTGCAAATCACTCAGCATTTCTGCTCAACCCTATGGAAATACATGTATTTAGAGGTTCAATCCCTTCACTTTGTGATTCATATACTTTGTTTTAACCTCTTTATCCTTAAAGTCTTTGCTACCACATGCAAAACATACAATGGCCTTTGTTGCTAGATTGCCTTGCCATAACTTCAGGTTTCTGCTCATTTGATAACACATCTCTATGCTTGTACCATGGGGCCCTAGATTAGACAATTGAGGACAGGTCTGACCCTTACTTGTTCCAACTTTCCAACATTTTAAATCCTTAAAAGACAAAAATTCTACTGAAAATACTAACAGACCCTTGTCTGACATGGTGCTACACATTTGGTTCTCAGCCTAACCATAGCTTGTGGATTCTGGTTTGTGGGGAGGGCAGCATTTTGTTAAGGAGATTGTGGGCTTCATGTACTTGTTATTAACATCTATCTTGAAAGCTACGAGTCATATGAGTGCTGTCAAATGTCATATATGCCTTATAGCTCTGGCTGTCAGTATGAAATGTCTTTAGAGAAGCTCTAGGTGGGAACACATCCTGTTTACATCAACCATTGAGTGAGCAGCTGGATAGCAGGCGGGTGACAGCATTGAGCTGTGTAACAGTCACTAACACCAGTCACCTCTGTCTAGCTGGGTTCTATCAGGCTCCACTCAGTTCACCTTCAGAAAATGGATTCTATGGACGTTTATCATGGGAACATCAGCCGGGAGACTGGGGAGAAGCTGCTGCTGGCTACGGGGATGGATGGCAGCTATTTACTGCGAGACAGTGAGAGCGTCCCAGGAGTGTATTGCCTGTGTGTGCTGTGAGTACAGAGAACCAAGGGAGTCTCAGGTCTAGGGCAGCAACACCCCTTACCCGGTGTATGTCTAAGTCTTGGGGAGCCAAGCTGCCACTTAGAATGCAGCTGCAAGTGGGTCTTATGGGTGAAGGATCAGCAGCATGGAGACCTTTTGTTGGGCAGCCAATTCGGTGATCCTGTGGCTTTCCACAGGGATGTCGACCTCCAACTTCTGGGTTCACAGCATGTATTCTGCCGCACATTACATTTGCCAGTTAGAATGGTCATCTTCTGGCAGAATGTGCAAATACTTCTGTGTCCAAAGCACTGTGGGGAGTTAGCTTTTAACATTGACTTCAGGCATGGCAGTGTGTAAGGGGTTCTTGGCCCTTTGCAGAAATAGGAAAGGACAGGTTCCTGCCATGGTTCGCTTATTCTTAAATGGGTCACAAAACAGTGAGCAAAGACAAAGAGTGCAGTGATGGGGTGGAGAGCAGGAAGGAGGATATAACAGCTTAAGCCATGCAGTTTGGATTGTAAATTGCATGTGCTTCTTGTTCATGCTGAATAATTCCTTTGGTTTTCCCTGTTGTCTGTCTTCCTGTTTAATACACTCAACAGCAGTATGGCCCAAAACCTCCTTTCCCCTGTGGGCTGGTATGGAGGAATATTGATGCTTTTCATTCATATATTGAAAGTGAGCGGTTGCCAACATTTCAGGGCCTGATTCTGCCAGCCCCTTACTACAGCTGAATATTGCCCTGCACACTGGGAGTATTGCTGCTGATTTCTGAATAAACTACTTTTAAAGCGCATGAAATACAAATAGATAATAAAGAAAATGGTGACAATTTATCAGTTAGGATTCTAGAGTTGGGGTAAGGGGAGGAATTCTTACGAGGTGTCTGTCATAGGCCACCAATGTGGAGAGAAGGTACTGATGAGTTGCTTCTGAAATGGGTATGAGCTGACAAAGGGCTTAATATTTATGGGGTATTTGAATGACAGAAGTGTGAGTTCTTTTAGCAAATGAGGACAGAAAGGATGAAGAATCCTAGGCATTAGCGTTGTGCATGCACGATAAACGAACAAAGCATGGCCAACGGGTCTGTACCAAGAGAACTTTAAAGAACTGAAGGGGTAGCAACAAGATATGTTAATATCAGAAATTACGGAGACAAAGCAAATGATTATTAGCTGAAAGAAATAAGAGGAGGCCTTTGTCCATGTAGAAAGGATAAGATAGTGAGAGTATTACTACGTCTAAAATAATATTTATATCACGCTTTCCACCAAAGGTCTGAATGTGCTTGTCAGCATCACTTGATTTAGCCTTGACTTTTAAACTGTGAAGGATGTGAGTATTATTATCATTTTACAGATGGGCAAACTGAGGCTTAGAGCCACATAAGAAGTGCTCCAAGCCACATAAGAAGGCTATAGCAGAACTGTAAATACAACCCAGTTCCCTTTTTATATCTCCTGTTGTGCCTTAATCATAAAGAATCGTCCTGCCTTGCCCTACTAAATGAGAAGGAAAACCAAAGATGAAAGAATTCCAAGTGGGATGACACACCTAATATCTAACCTCAGGCTTTAACAAGACGACAAAAAAATAGGGGATTAAGAAGTGTATTGAGTTAAAAGCTAATGCAGATTTGGGGTAGATATGAAAAGCGGTGATAAGACTCTACTGAAAGGAGCCATCTAATAAATAATAAAAGCCCAAGTGTTCTTAAAGAACTATCAGAGGAAATGGTGAAACAGCTACTTAGCATTTGTAGGGTCAACCAGAACAGGTGAGGGGTAGCAGTGATTGGAGAGTCATGTACAATATTATCCAGCTTTATGAAAAATAAAGCGGGAATCCAGGAAATCAGTCTAATTAGTCTACATTCGATACTTGGACATATAGCAAGGACATGGAGCTGCAAATAATCTATAGGAGTTTCTGGTGGTATGAAAGGCAGTTTGTTTATATGAATGATAGGAAGGTCAGGTTTTTAAAGAATAGATTAGGACAGTTAAATATGAGGCTCATAGGTTCTGAAGACAAATGGGAATGCAATAAACAATAAAAGAACCTCCTAATTGTGCCTGCAAAATTTGCGAACCACAAAGTTTGCATTTAGGGATACACTTGCATGAGCAAAGGGTGAGATTAAAAAAATACTTACTTATAAACTATAGATAAGTAAAGCTTTTATAATCCATAATATAAGTACTTAGGAAAACTTTTGACACTGTCTAGTGAAGATATCTACCTGAGCAGCTAGAACAATATTGTCTAGATAACTATGATCTGATGTGGATGGAAATCTGGTGGCAGAATCACAGAGATGAGCACTGGGTTCATAACTATTTAATACAGTATTTCAATAATGAATGTGGAGCAAGAAGTAGATTGTACAGAAATTAGTGTCTCAGAGGATAAACTAGGAAACAGTGCTCTGAGTGGATGATGCAAAGAAATTACAGAATGATCTACCAATGTGATGGTAATTTAGATAAGTGTATGCAATAGACCACTATAGCAGGCAAAAAAATTAAAATAGCGGAGCAGCTCTGCACAGAAGGGGAGAGGAAGCAGACAATGAACCAGAGACTAACTCATTGTGGGATGAAGACGCTTGCTGTAGCAAAAAAAGAACAAATCCTAGACTGGCAAATATACAGGGAGGACCAGCGCATAGGACCAGAGCGACAACAATACATGCTATAAAGCCTTGGCAAAACCAAAAAGAGGTGTGTGTAGACTTTGGGATTCATCACTACAGAAAAACAAACCAACCCCAAACCATTAGTAAACTATAGAATGTATTTCTGTATTAAGTTTTGGGGCTGTGATCGTGTTTTCATACCTCCTTGTAAAGCACAGAGAACAGTGTTGGCATTATGCAATTAAGAACAATTAATAATAACGGTTTTAACAAAAAAACTTTTAATCGGCACTCAGAAACTCTGATGATGGTTACTCTAGGAATACCTAGAGAGCGTTTAGGTAGAATGTGTACAGCTTAGTGTACGGATTCAGTCACTATGAAATGATTTCTGAAATGGTGAAGCAAAGCCTGTAAGTGAACAAAGAGATGTTATCATACATATTGGAGCCAACCCCCCAAAATATATATTTTCTGTGAGAAATTTCAAATGAACTGAAAAGGTTTTCTAGTGATAATTTTTTCTGATGAAATGAAAGCAACAAAATTGATTTGCAAAATTTTCAGTCTTTCCCTTTCTCTCTCTCTTCCCCCCTTCCACTGATTACAGGCGGGGGGGGGGGGCGGGAGGGGGGAGGGAAAAATCAGGTTTTTGGGGGGGTTTTGTTGTTGTTGAAAAAAACAGAAAATTTTGATCCAAACAAAAAAATTGCCTCAAAAAGCCATTTGTCACTGAAAAATGTTTTGACGAAAATATTGTAGCCAACTCTAATAAACATGCTTGGCCGATCTTGCGCTTACCGCTGCCCATGTAAAGCCAGTTTTGGGAGTGCAATGATCTTAGCATGACCCCAAAGGCTTTAGAATCCTTTCAAAAAGGTTCAAATGTTCCTTATGCCATTTTCCCTTCCTAAACACTTTGGCTGACTTTGAATATAATAAAGCTGTGGCCAGTCTCGATTGCCTCCTAATTAAAATAAAAACCTGACCCTAAGCAGAGTAATGACCTTGGAAAGTGGGAAGAATCAGACTCCACACAATTCATAAAGGATTTTGCTATTGCCATTGAATTTACATGGAAGGTGCTCAGATACCATGGTTATTGGTGGCAGGCTAAAACCCTTAGATAACTGGAACGGCTTTGATAGTCAGGACCCTGTTTGATAAACTTTTATCAAGGAAGCTTTTCTTTCCCACTGTTCTGTTCCCCAAAAGTACCATTGGTTTGTTTTGCTGCTTTCTTCCAGTTCCCCTTCAGTTCAAGCCCAGACTGAAGTGCCCTAAGTCACTGCATGCAGACGAGAGCCCACAAGCCTTCAAAGAGAGAACGTTTTTTGTGTGGCTGTGGCAAATCACAAAGACACACTTTCTTTCATCGATATTTTAAGACCACAATGATGAAGGGAAATAGTTCATACAGCAATAAGTAGGTTTTGGTTTGCATTGGGGTCTCCCGTAGCTCCTGTAAATACAGATGCTCCCTGCAATTTTCTGCAACATTTTAAAATGAAGTGCTCCTCCGGGGCCTGCCTACAGTGACTTCTTTAATAACATTATTAAACAAATAATGTTGATTACTGCAAGAGTGGGTGTACGGCTGCATGATTCAACTAGGCTAGCCCAGGAGCGCAAAGGTTTCAATTAATGAGCTTTTGAAACGTTTCTTGCTGTTCTTCAAAATTAGGATGTTTATGAATGATTTTTTTAAAGAAACGGTTCCATTGCGTAACCAGTTGGATACTGCATACAATGTTACAAGATTTTATTATTGGGTCTTGATTTTTTTCTTATGAAGTTCTTTCTTTGCTAGCAACATGTTCTGTTCACAGACGTCTTGGATTCCTGTCTAAGTATCCTGTTTGACATTTTTTAACAGACATAGAGACTATCTGCACACATTGCTCCTAATGAAGTCAATGGGGAATGCGAGACACAAGAATGGGCTTATTTTTTAAACTGGGCCTGCAAAATTTGTGACTATACCTGTGGGTGCAGATGCTCCCTTCACCATTCCAGATACGTATATGCCTGTGCAAAGACAAGTAGCTGCATGTGTAAATTGGTAAAGCCAATGCTAATTATACTCGTACATGTATTTGGGAGCTCAAAATTTGTAGGGGGATGTCTCGAATGACAGTAGTTGTTTCAATCCTCTAAATATCGATTAGAATGGCAGCTTAAGCTAAATACGACATCACTTTTATAGTGTGCTTTCAAATGATTTCTCTGAAGTCAACCATTCATGTACTATACTGCATTAAACCTTTAGGGCATAATTAGCAACTAGAGTATAAAACTGTTTGGAACTCTTGAAGCACTGATAATGGCAACAGGACAGACTCCTATCTAATCAGCTTTAATTTT